TTTTGGTTAACCCACTACAAGATTAAGAAATTAATGGAATAAAAAAAATGCACCACCACAAGAAAGACAGAATTTACGTGGTTCAGCTCCAATTTAATTGAGCCTACGTCCACGGGCACTCACAAAGAAAAATTCACTATTAAAATAGGGAGATACAATTTGTGGTACTCTCAAAACAATACCCAATCCCCAATTACACCCAAATCTTTCTCATAGTAATTTTGAATGCGAGACACACTCAAAATACACTCAGCAAAGTAATTTTAACCACTCTGCTCTTGCTCACCCTCACCTAAAGCACTCACAGAACTCTTGTATTTTCTAGAGCTCACTTGCCTTTGGATTGCTCTTCTTGGTGTTGTTTTGCCGAATGGCCTAATGGCTTTTATAGCCAAAAATCCACCGCCCAAAATTAATGAAATGGGCTGCAAGGTCAAAATCCAACCATGCATAATAAATGCAATGGCCTTCAAAGTCTTAACCTTTAATTTCATGGAAACATGCAGAAGCAAAATCCATTTTGTCAAGATTTTCGGCTGCACCTTCTTGCCAAATAACCATCACTTTCAACTCTGCACTTTGCATGCATTTTCAACTCCCTTTTTGACTGCCACAAGATTTCTCATGCAACCAAATTTCAAAGGCTGAAATTTGCATGCTTTCTCAACCACCATGCAGAACGCACATGCCTCAACAAGAACAATTTCTTTGGGTTGGGCCTATGCCATCTAGCAAGGAAATTTGAGAATTCAAGCTAAAGCGTGTAGATAACTTTCTTGCGTTTGGCTTCGCCAGCAGCCTAGCCTGTCTAGGAAATCTTCAATTAACCTACAGAGTCATTTCACCTTTATAAGGTATCAATACGAAGGAAGATATAGTAGAAAGAAACAAAACAAAAGCACTAACAAGCTGCTCGTTGCCTTTAGTGAAATGCCAGCTCGTGGTCAGGGAAAGAATATTCAAATCAAAAACTCAACTAAATATAGAGGCCCAGCACCTTCAGTTGTCCCAAAGAAAAGATGAGGTTTTAGCAGCGTCAAGGTTCTATTGAGTTGTAAGAAACATTACACAGAATCAGCAAATAGCGTTAGAAGTGAACACATGAAACATCACAACGCAGGGAAGATGGGATCAACAAAAGCATCATGCATTGGATATAACAGCCAGAGTTTAGCTATGTGATGGGAAGATGTGGTGTGCCGATGGGTTTCTTCAATGAGCCAGAGAGTGGCTTCAGCTTACAAGGATGAATGATGATATCCAGAGGCCTGTCTTTATCCTCACTTCCAAATCTCAGTTGGTCCCACTGTGTTAGGAGAATGTTGTGGAGGTAATGCAAGGGTTGGCCATATAATTGCTTGATTAATCTACCTAATCCCATCCATGATGTAAATGGGATGAAAGAACCCCGCTGTGCTGGGATAGGCACTTCATAAACTCCTGATACAATTCTGCCCTTTTCATCAACATACCTGTTCAAAGAAACTTCAGGCAACATTAACTCACCCATCTGTGTCCATAGCAATCAATTGGGGGATTGAAGCTGTTGTGCAAAGACCAAAGTAGTCAATACCGTACCGGCATGCGT